AGACCCGGGAGGCACAGACAGTCAAAGCCAAAATCAACTATTGGGATTGCATCAAATTGAGAAGTTTCTGTGCTGCAAAAGAAACAGTCAGGAGAGTGAAGAGACAACCAACAGAATGGGAACAAATATTTGCAAACTATGCAACAGATAAAGGGTTGATAACCAGAATCTACAAAGAGATCAAGAGACTCCACAAAAACAAAACAAACAACCCAATAAGAGATGGGTCAAGGACTCAAGAGACATTTTTCAAAAGAGGAAATCCAAATGGCCAACAGGCACATGAAACAATGTTCAAGGTCACTAGCAGTCAGGGAAATGCAAATCAAAACCACAATGAGGTTTCACCTCACCCCGGTTAGAATGGTTCACATACAGAAATCTACCAACAACAGATGCTGGCGAGGATGTGGGGAAAAAGGGACACTAACCCACTGTTGGTGGGAATGCAAACTGGTCAAGCCACTATGGAAGTCAGTCTGGAGATTCCTCAGAAACCTGAAGATAACCCTACCGTTCGACCCAGTCATCCCACTCCTTGGAATTTACCCAAAGGAATTTAAATTGGAAAACAAAAAAGCGGTCTGCACCCTAATGTTTATTGCAGCACAATTCACAATAGCCAAGACCTGGAACCTACCTAAATGCCCATCGACGGTAGACTGGATAAAGAAATTATGGGATATGTACTCTTTAGAATACTATACCGCAGTAAGAAACAACGAAATCCAGTCAATTGCAACAAATGGAGGAATCTTGAACACATCATGCTTAGTGAAATAAGCCAGACTCAAAGGGACAAATACCATATGTTCTCCCCGATTGGTGACAACTGACTGAACACCAAGAAGGAAACCTGTTGAAGTGAAATGGACATTATGAGAAATGGTGACTTGATCAGCATAGCCCTGACTGTTAATGAACAACTTAATACATTATCCCTCTTAGTAGTATTTTTTTTGTCTGTTCTACTTAATATGACTGGTTTATTTATGTAATTATCACATAGTTATTCTTAAGTGTTGAAAATTAACCGAAATGTGATCCCTGTTAAACATAAGAGTGGGGATAAGAGAGGGAAGAGATGTATAATTTGGGACATGCTCAGGCTGACTTGCCCCAAACGGTAGAGTTAGAAACATACCAGGGGACTCCCATTTAATCCCATCAAGGTGGCATGTACCAATGCCTTCTCACTATTCCAAGTGATCAATTTCAGTTCACAATTGATCATAATGAAAGGACTAAGAGTCAAAGGGAGCACATAAACAAGTCTAGTACCTGCTAACACTAACCAATAGAATATATAAAGGGGAGAGTGATCCAACATGGAAAGCGAGATACTCAGCGGACTCACAGAATGGCGGATGTCGTAAACAGCACTCTGGCCTCAGAATCAGGCCTAAAGGCTTTCCGATCTGGCTGAAAATCCCATGAGAGTATTTCAGACATGGAAAGCCAGACACTCTGGCAAAAAAAAAAAAAAAAAAAAAAAAAAAAAAAAAAAAAAAACACCTAAATTAAAGATTTCTGTGAGTGAGATCCCAGTGGAAAGAACAGGTCTTCAAAGAAGGAGGTACCTTTCTCTGAAGGGAGGAGAGAACCTCCACTTTGACTATGACCGTGTCTAAACAAGATAAGAGTTGGAGAACTCAAGGGGCTTCCATAGCCTTGGAAACTCATGACTGGTTCATAGGGAGATTACTGATGCTATAAACAGGAGTGTCAATTTGTAAAGTCAACAACAGGAGTCACCTTGCACTTACTCTTCATGTAGGATCTCTGTCCTTAATGTGCTGTACATTGAGGCTTAATGCTATGACGAGTACCCAAACAGTATATTTCACTTTGTGTTTTTATGGGGGTGCAAACTGTTGAAATATTTAATTAATGTATACTAAACTGATCTTCTGTTAAAAAAAAAGAAGAAGAAGAAATTATCAATTCCCAACTTGACTCTTGCTGGGATTAAACATGACAATAGGTCTCATCTGATTTCATCATCATTTAAAAAAACATCTATTATTTTTCACCTTATATGTTTGTGTGGTGGCAAACTGTTGAAACCTTTACTTAATGTATGCTGAACTCATCTTCTGTATATAAATAGAATTGAAAATGAATCCTCATGTGAATGGAAGGGGAGAGGGAATGGGAAAGTCGAGGGTTGCGGGTGGGAGGGACATTATGGGGGGGAAGCCATTCTAATCCATAACCCGTACTTTGGAAATTTATATTCATTAAATAAATGTAAAAAAAAAGAAAATTAAAAAAAATTAAAAAAATAATTCATAAGATGTTTACTTGTTCAGGATTTTCTCTGGTTGAGCATTAGGCACACACGGAAGTAAAACAGTATAGAGTTTACAGTGTGCAAAGTGTTATAATGTCACATGTTGGTTCAAATTTCTCACTGAGCACAGATAACTGATTTGCTATCATCAATTAAGTCACAAGTTGAGTTTTAAATGGGTGGGGAAGTCAGGTGCGATTTGCCTCAGTGTGTGCATCATTCACTTCTCTATTTCTGTTGATGGCAGGTCCTGGGGAATTTCTAGGTGTGTGAGTGTGTGTCTGTGCGTGTGTGTGTGTGTTTTGTGCCATCGCAAATGCAAGCATGTTCTGTGCTGGAGTGGTTCACTATGATGTCAGTATACGCAAGGATGGCACAATTAGTCTGAATTGGTCTGAAATTAATATGAAATAAATTCAGTATTTACCTATATGAATACTGCAGTGAGTTTTAATTAGGTAGAAAGGAAATGTTTGGGTCTGTGTGTTTAGCACACATGGCTCTATGTCATGTCACATCACGTGGTTTTGAGTGTGTGTTGTATTATATACAGATGGGTGTTCTGTGGTGTGTGCGTGTGTGTGTGTGTTTTGTGCCATGGCAAATGCAAGCATGTTCTGCGTTGGAGTGGTTCACTATCATGTCAGTACATGCAGAGGATGGCACAATGCAGGAGGAAGCACACGGCAACTCACAGCATATGCATCTCTTTGAAGGGCTGATTTCACTTTGGATGAAGTGCCCTGTGATGGAGAATGTGTGCTGTCTGGGCAAATCAAAGCCCTTCACACACAGGATTGTCTGGCATACTGATACGTGTGAGGTGGTGTGAAGCGATCATGACCGGAGTAAGGGGCAGGTTTCTTCAGGAATGAGGGTGACAGGCTATCCCAGTGCAATGCCACTAGGGGATAGGAAAGAAATGGTGAAGGCAGATGATAGATGTGAGATGATCTGAAAGAGGAAAGGGAAATGGCAGCCCCCCTGGTAGAGAAGTCCAACACATGAGTACGGAATGGAAATCCTGCCAGTCAGTGTGCCTTGGGAGGCTCTATCTGGATTCCACACACGAGCCCACAACCCATGGACTCATCTTTAGTCCTCCCAGTGCCCACGGATGGCAACTTGTTGGAGAGGATCTCTGAGCCATTCTCAGGATATTACTGGGACATTCCTATAGCTTCCTCCCCGGGGGCTTCATCCTGGTTCTATACCCTGAAACATGCTCCTATGTGAGCCCAAAGAGGAGTGGGCGGGAGTTGGCCTGGGGAACTCAGCTGCAACACTCACCAAAGTTCACACCTTCCCTTTGCATGTGCCTTACCTTCATCTTCAATAAGAATGGATTCTCCCAGACAGCAAACAAAGCGGGCATCATCTGATGTTGAGGATCTCTTTCTTTCTGACTAGATGGGATGAGGCCGGTGCCACGGCTCACTAGGCTAATCCTCCACCTAGCGGCGCCGGCACACCGGGTTCTAGTCCCGGTCGGGGCGCCGGATTCTTTCCCGGTTGCCCCTCTTCCAGGTCAGCTCTCTGCTGTGGCCTGGGAAGGCAGTGGAGGATGGCCCAAGTGCTTGGGCCCTGCACCCCATGGGAGACCAGGAGAAGCACCTGGCTCCTGCCTTCAGAGCAGCATGGTGCGCCGTCCACAGCGCGCCAGCCGTGGCGGCCATTGGGGCGTTAACCAACGGCAGAGGGAAGACCTTTCTCTCTGTCTCTCTCTCTCACTATCCACTCTGCATGTCAAAAAAAGTAAAAAAAAAAGATGGGATGGGAACGTCACACATGACTCAGGAGCATTCTCCAGTGCCTGAGAGCCTTCTGGGGGGACAAGATGACAATAAGACAACCTTGAGATGTGACTTCATCTGGGTTCTGCATCTATTCAAATGAACAGCACCTCAAATGCATATATTGTTCAAGGCATTTGAGCCCACAGGGGACTTGCTTTCAAAGGAATGGTGCTGAATTCCCCATCTATTGACTAGCAACCATCCTAAGAGTGCCAATCCTATGCAGACCACAGTCTGCCTCCTGGACAAAGTTTCAAATGGGAAGTGTTTAAAAATGTTTCAGTTGTATCTGGGTGTCAAAGGCTAATTAATTAGACACGATGTACATAACATGTTTTTGTGGAGCCACGTTAGGTGCGTTGTCTTAAAAATATGGGGTCAGTGTGCAACTGACATAAGAAACTTAATGTTCACTTATCTATGTCTCCTTTGTTCCAATATTCGTATGAATGCTGTGAAAGCTTGCGTAATACACCCACCCCACGCTGTTCATGTCTTCATCACTGTAGCCCCTGGACATTCCCGAGATTGTCAATGATGACACTTAGATGCCATTTTTCTCAGAATTTGAGGTGCACGGATGACCCTTTATCATGCATGTTGGTTATAAATGTCATCCCAAGGATCTTTGTGTGAGTACAAAAGAATTTCAGACTATAATGTAGAATAAGCCTACATTCTTTTTGTCAGGAGTATAACAAGTTAGTCTGTGCACAGGTATTTGTTTCATGTGTTTATTCTGTTCTCTGTTCTGGTTTCCGTACTTTAAGGGCATCCCATAGTCACACCCTCAAAGCTCCCCTAGTGCTCATTCCTCGTGTCCTGTGCTGAGAACCTGTGACTTATTCTTGGAACAGTACCCAATTTCTAATGTCACATAGCTTGATGCTTTCCCTTCGCATCTGACTTACCGTCTTCAATAAGAATGGGCATGTTCCAAGAGGAAACAAAGCAGACATCATCTGAGTTGGATGAATTCTCTCCTTCCTTGTTAAGATGTGCCAGGCCTTGCAAACACATCTCAGAGGCATCCTTTTGAGGCTTTTGCAGTGCTGGGGAAAAACAACATAATGACATCCCTGAGATGAGACATCATCCAGTTTCTGCATCTAAATGGCAATGTATCACTGGATATGTTGTTTCGGGCAGGTGGCCACACATGAGACTTGCTCTCACAGGAATGAAAGCGACTTCATCCATTTAGTGAATGTCAGTTGTCCACTACATGCCAGACTCTCATGAAGACCATGAAATGTGCCTGGTCAAAGCTTCAAAACAGATGTTTTAATAACTTTCATCCTTGTCCAGGTGTCGCTGGCTCAAAAGACAGAGCACACATTTATACTATCACTTGCTTTGTGTGTCTTGAAACAGTAATGTCACACAGAGTGCAATCCATGTGTTGTTAGTATTCATGCCCCTGTTACTGTCTAAAAATTCCATGATAGTTGTGAAAGGCTGCGCGATGCTCCACAACCAAGATCTCCATATCTTAACCACGGGAACCTGTGGATCTTACCTTGTAAGTTAAAGGAGATAATTACATACACATGCGTGAATTCAGGATCTTTGTACCTCATGAATGGGCACTTCTTACCTAATTCTCTTTGTTTCCTGAGTTCAGTACCCTTTGAGTTATCAGTTTTAACCCTATTTCAAGCAATAACAGGAGCACAGAATACTTCTGCTTCTAGTCGGCATCGGACATCCTACTGTCATTCAGCACTTTAATCACAGCTGCTCTATCTGTTGTGAATTAGTTATTTTCTCTTGGGAATTTGAATAATCAAGACCTATCTATATATTCTCCGATCTCCTAGCACAAATTTGTTGCTGGTTGCCATTTCCTTTGTCAGTTTTTTTTTTTTTTTTTTTTTTCTGAATAGACTCTTTAAATCACTATTAGTTTTCATTTTTCTTTGGCGTATTTATGTTAAACTGTCATATTTAATCCCTGACCTTGTATGACCGTGACTGTTCTTTTTGCCCTAAGCACACTATTTTATTCTGTGTTCATTTGTCTTCCGTGATGGTTGCTGAACATACCCACACACATTGCACTGATGCGCCCAGCCTCACCTGTCGCTGTCCTTACCAGGATGAGGTTGTAAAGGTGAAGGTGAGTGGCTGATGTGGGGTTCCAATTTATCAGATGTTTCTTCTGCTTCAAGGACCAAGGTCTTGCCCTCCATTGAGTTTTCAGGTTGTGGATCACACTGGGTGATTGAGATGTCTGCAATGTGGATCAGAGGTCATGAATATGCAGTTGATGTTTCATTCATTGATTTATCCAATCCACACATATTCTGATGATCATGATCTGAGTTCTCAGAATAGACGTATTCCATAATCTCACAGGCAACCAAATACATGTCCTGATAAAAACTATAACATACATGTGCACAGCACATTCGTCTCATCATTGGATGCTGGAGTTTGGGTTAGAAGTCATATAATTGGGTTGGAGTTCTAGCTATCTGCTAAAGCTCTTTTTTTAATGGTGTCAGAGTGTGTGAAGGAATACAACTAGCATTTCTCTTGCTTTACCAAAGATTATGTACAAAATATCATATGTGACCTCACTTAAGTCCTGTATTGGGCCTTATCCTACCTACAGAATAACCAACATCTCTGAATATTCTGTATTGTTCCCTGCAGGGACACAGCTTCTTCTATTCTCCTTGATTGACTTTTTCCAGTGAGCACCCTTCCCACATCCAAGATGACATTTTCCTCTTAGGTTCAATTGAAAATGCGCAAGGGGGTGCTACCTTTTGGGTTGTCTATATTTCTTCCCGGGTCCAGCCCTCAGGTCTCCTCAGTACCACAGTCCTTGGCCACTGCTTTTGGCCCTGTTGGCCTCCACTAATTTGTCATGCCAATGAAACAATGGCTGAATTCTGAACTTGAATAAAATACATATTCATGATTGTCTCATGCCACTGTTGCTGTTAAATGTTAACACAGTCCACTGATTGTTACTGAACTCTTAAGATTATCAAGTTGTGTCATGAATGAGGTGTGCTGTATATGATGCACTCACACATTGCAGAGAAACAGTGTGGTGAAATCATGTGCCACATGTATGTAACTTTGTAACATACTGCTTGAATTGGTCTGAAATTAATATGAAATAAATTCAGTATTTACCTATATGAATACTGCAGTGTGGGCCTGCGCCGCGGCTCACTAGGCTAATCCTCCGCCTAGCGGCGCCGGCACACCGGGTTCTAGTCCCAGTTGTGGCGCCGGATTCTGTCCCGGTTGCCCCTCTTCCAGGCCAGCTCTCTGCTGTGGCCAGGGAGTGCAGTGGAGGATGGCCCAGGTGCTTGGGCCCTGCACCCCATGGGAGACCAGGAAAAGCACCTGGCTCCTGCCATCGGATCAGCGCGGTGTGCCGGCCGCAGCGCACTGGCCGCGGCGGCCATTCGAGGGTGAACCAGCGGCAAAGGAAGACCTTTCTCTCTGTCTCTCTCTCTCACTGTCCACTATGCCTGTCAAAAATATAAAATAAATAAATAAATAAATAAATGAATGAATACTGCAGTGAGTTTTAATTAGGTAGAAAGGAAATGTTTGGGTCTGTGTGTTTAGCACACATGGCTCTATGTCATGTCACATCACGTGGTTTTGAGTGTGTGTTGTATTATATACAGATGGGTGTTCTGTGGTGTGTGCGTGTGTGTGTGTGTTTTGTGCCATGGCAAATGCAAGCATGTTCTGCGTTGGAGTGGTTCACTATCATGTCAGTACATGCAGAGGATGGCACAATGCAGGAGGAAGCACATGGCAACTCGCAGCATATGCATCTCTTTGAAGGGCTGATTTCACTTTGGATGAAGTGCCCTGTGATGGAGAACATGTGCTGTCTGGGCAAATCAAATCCCTTCACACACAGGATTGTCTGGCATACTGATACGTGTGAGGTGGTGTGAAGCGATCATGACCGGAGTAAGGGGCAGGTTTCTTCAGGAATGAGGGTGACAGGCTATCCCAGTGCAATGCCACTAGGGGATAGGAAAGAAATGGTGAAGGCAGATGATAGATGTGAGATGATCTGAAAGAGGAAAGGGAAATGGCAGTGCACCCCTGGTAGAGAAGACCAACACATGAGTACGGAATGGAAATCCTGCCAGTTTGTGTGCCTTGGGAGGCTCTATCTGGATTCCACACACGAGCGCACCACCCATGGACTACATCTTTAGTCCTCCTGAGTGCCCATGGATGGCAACTTGTTGGAGAGGATCTCTGAGCCATTCTCAGGATATTTTTGGGACACTCCTGCAGGTTTCTGCCATGGGGCTTCATCCTGGTTCTGTACCCTGAACATAGCTCCTATTGTGAGCCCAAAGAGGAGTGGGCGGGAGTTGGCCTGGGGAACTCAGCTGCAACACTCACCAAAGTTCACACCTTCCCTTTGCACGTGCCTTACCATCATCTTCAATAAGAATGGATTCTCCCAGACAGCAAACAAAGCGGGCATCATCTGATGTTGAGGATCTCTTTCTTTCTGACTTTAGATGGGATGGGGCCGGTGCCACGGCTCACTAGGCTAATCCTCCACCTAGCGGCGCCGGCACACCGGGTTCTAGTCCCAGTCGGGGCGCCGCATTCTTTCCCGGTTGCCCCTCTTCCAGGCCAGCTCTCTGCTGTGGCTTGGGAAGGCAGTGGAGGATGGCCCAAGTGCTTGGGCCCTGCACCCCATGGGAGACCAGGAGTAGCACCTGGCTCCTGCCATCTGATCAGTGCATTGTGCCAGCCGCAGCTTGCTGGCCACAGCGGCCACTGGAGGGTGAACCAACAGCAAAAGGAAGACCTTTCTCTCTGCCTCTCTATCTCTCACTGTCCACTCTGCCTGTCAAAAAAAAAAAAAAGAGATGAATGAAAGGAATGGAGGTGGATTTGAGGGGACTTCCCAGAGAAACAGAAAATCTGGCCATCTATGATATGGAGCTGGAGGAACAACTGCATGAGGAGACTGCGTCAGTGTGCTAGGAGAAGCTCGGCCTACACCGTCATAATGTTAGCACAGCCCAGGGCTCAATTAAAGCCATCTGAATGATGGCAAATTGTTACTGAGAACTGTGAATCATTCTTCTTACACTCCCTATGGGTCTCTTCCTAGAGTCCTCATCCTAGTCTCTGTGCCCTGAAACACTCTCATATTGTGAGCACAGTGCAGAGTGAGCAGGAGTTGGCACGGGGATCTCAGCTGCAACATTCATCAAAATTCATATTTTCCCTTAGAATCTGCCTTACCTTTTGTTTCCACAGCAATGGAATCACTCAGAGAAGAAACAAAGCAGTCAACATCAGAGTTGGAGAAATATTCTTCTGACTTAGGATGGGATGAGAATGTCGCACATGACTCAGAAGCATTCTCCAGCGCCTTAGATATTTCTGTGGAACAGGATGACAACATGACAACCCTGAGATGCAACTTCATCTGGGTTCTGCATCTATTCAAATGAACAGTGCACAGAATGCATATATTGTTTAAGGCATTTGTCCCCAAGGGGCCTTGCTGTCACAGGAATAGAGATGATTCCAGCATTCAGTGAATACCAACCAACTGCTCTGAGCTGCATAAGTACCCTGACCACAGTCTGCCTCCTGGACAAAGGTTCTAAAGAAAGTGTTGTATCTGGGTGTTGAAGGCTAAGTGGACACAATGCATACACACTGTTTGTGGAGTCCCTTTTGATGCACCTGTTGAAAATATGCTGTCAGGGTGCAATCATTGTAAGAAATTGTAATATTCATTTATCTATGTCTCCTTCATTCTCTTTAACAATTGCATGATCGCTGTGAAAGGCTGCGTAATCCTGCCCTCACAAACTGTTCATGTCTCGATCAGGAAAGCCCCAGGATGGTCCCTAGTATGTCAAGGATGATTTTACAGATGGTACTGAATCATGGATTTTGAGGTGGGGCGATGATCTTTTACCACATATGTAGGTTATAAATGCCATCCAAAGGATACTTAATAGAGGGCATGAAGGTCAACAATGGGTGAGTTCTGACAGATGGAAGCAAGAGCTGGAGCTAAGAATTGAGAAGATATCAATCCCAGAGTACTAAGACCATAATCCAAGTATTAACAAGCAAGGGCATTCTCCACTACAAGCAACAGGGGACTGACCAGTCCTGCAAATATAAAGAATGCGAACCTCGCAAGCCATATTTTGTGTTATCTGTCCCCCTGCTGCCGGGTCTGTAAGAGAACAGTTTACAGCATGTGTATTTCTAATAGGTAAGCTCACGGTGATATGTAACAGTGCTTTACACGGTATAAGCTTATATACTAAGCTTGAATTAAGGCTTTTTCTAACACACAGGAGGTCCCTACATACCTAATACTCTTAGGTCCCTAGTTCATAGTTGCTAGTAGGACTAGTTTTATCCATAATCTGAACAATAGCAGGACCTTAGAATACGACTACTTTGGGTCATTTACATGGTGTTGAATTCAGCAATTTAATCAGGGCTGATTTATCAGTTCTGAATTGGTATTATTGTTTTGGGGATTTAAGCCATCGAAGCTTATATGCAGTCACATACTCTCAAAAGACTTAGCTCAGAACTTGTTCCTGAGGGCCACACCATGAGTTCAGTCGATTTTATCATGTACAGACTGCGTCAGCTACTGTTGCACTTACTTCTTCCTTTGATAACCTTTTTAAATGTCTTTATGTCACCCCTATTCTTGTAAGTGGGTGACTGCTCTTAGGGGTACACTACTTCACTCTGCGACAAATGTTAAACAGCTTGGAGACCACACGTCTGTTTCCCTCTCCTATATACTGGTGTGCCCCACCTCAGCTCACACTGCCCTTACCAGAAATAGGGGACACATGTGAATCTGAGTGGCCGAGGTGGCAATCCATTTCATCAGATGTTTCATCGGACTTCTTGGCCAGGGTCTTTTCCTCCAAAGAGTACGCAGGTTGTGCATCACACTGGTGTAGGGTTGAGCTTTCTGGAACATGCAACAGTGGTCATGGGTGTACACATGTGGCAAAGCTCATTGCTTTTTCCTATTCCTGCATATTCTCAAGGTCACGTATTGAGGTCTCAGAACAGACAGGGCTCCAGACATCGTACAAATTCACACCTATAATATCCTAACGCACGTGTGCACCAAAGCACCTGACTTGTCACTTGGAGTTTGAAAATGTTGAGTTGTCATGCATTGGGGTTTTACTCCATCACATGCACCAAAATTCTGCTCTGGAAGAGTTAGTTTTTTCACTATAGAACTGTGATGTTCTGCCAAACTTCACTTTCAAAACTCCCGACATGCAGCGTAACTGCTTTCACAGTTGAGTTTTTTGGGGGTCTCTCTTCCATACACAGTGAAACCAACATCACTGAGAAAACTGCTCTGTTCCTGTAGGGACACTGTTGCTTTTATCCTCCATCACTGCTCTCTTGCACTGAGCGCTAGCAACTCTCCTCGCCACACAGTGAAGACGTTTTGTCCTAAAAGTTCTATCTACCAGGGCCTGGTGTCTTTCACCTGTCTGTACTTCTTCACAGCTCTTGACCTCTAGAACCCTCAAAGCCACTCTCTGTCTTGAGATGTCATATTCTGCTTGCCCACACCTCTTCTGGCAGTTTTCCTCTCTCATTACAATATGCCTAGAAGAACACTATCTCAAATGAAACAATACAATATTTTACTTTACACAACACATATTCATCATTCAAAATTTCACTGTTGCTCTTCTAAGTCATCACAGCTCAACACTCGGTATTTAAATCATAAGATGTTTACTTGTTCAGGATTTTCTCTGGTTGAGCATTAGGCACACACGGAAGTAAACAGTATAGTGTTTACAGTGTGCAAAGTGTTATAACGTCACATGTTGGCTCAAACTTGTGCACTGAGCATAGATAACTGATTTGCTATCATCAATTAAGTCACAAGTTGAGTTTTAAATGGGTGGGAAAGTCAGGTGCGATTTGCCTCAGTGTGTGCATCATTCACTTCTGTATTTCTGTTGATGGCATGTCCTGGGGAATTCCTGGGTGTGTGTGTGTGTGTGTGTGTGTGTGTGCGTGTGTGTGTGTGTTTTGTGCCATGGCAAATGCAAGCATGTTCTGTGTTGGAGTGGTTCACTATCACGTCAGTACATTCAGAGGATGGCACAATGCAGGAGGAAGCACACGGCAACTCGCAGCATATGCATCTCTTTGAAGGGCTGATTTCACTTTGGATGAAGTGCCCTGTGATGGAGAACATGTGCTGTCTGGGCAAATCAAATCCCTTCACACACAGGATTGTCTGGCATACTGATACATGTGAGGTGGTGTGAAGCAATCATGACCGGAGTAAGGGGCAGGTTTCTTCAGGAATGAGGGTGACAGGCTATCCCAGTGCAATGCCACTAGAGGATAGGAAAGAAATGGTGAAGGCAGATGATAGATGTGAGATGATCTGAAAGAGGAAAGGGAAATGGCAGTGCCCCCCTGGTAGAGAAGACCAACACATGAGTACGGAATGGAAATCCTGCCAGTCAGTGTGCCTTGGGAGGCTCTATCTGGATTCCACACACAAGCGCACCACCCATGGACTCATCTTTAGTCCTCCGAGTGCCCATGGATGGCAACTTGTTGGAGAGGATCTCTGAGCCATTCTCAGGATATTTTTGGGACACTCCTGCAGGTTTCTGCCATGGGGCTTCATCCTGGTTCTGTACCCTGAAACATGCTCCTATTGTGAGCCCAAAGAGGAGTGGGCGGGAGTTGGCCTGGGGAACTCAGCTGCAACACTCACCAAAGTTCACACCTTCCCTTTGCACGTGCCTTACCATCATCTTCAATAAGAATGGATTCTCCCAGACAGCAAACAAAGCGGGCATCATCTGATGTTGAGGATCTCTTTCTTTCTGACTTTAGATGGGTTGGGGCCGGTGCCACAGCTCACTAGGCTAATCCTCCACCTAGCGGCGCCGGCACACCGGGTTCTAGTCCCAGTCGGGGCGCCGGATTCTTTCCCGGTTGCCCCTCTTCCAGGCCAGCTCTCTGCTGTGGCCTGGGAAGGCAGTGGAGGATGGCCCAAGTGCTTGGGCCCTGCACCCCATGGGAGACCAGGAGTAGCACCTGGCTCCTGCCTTCAGAGCAGCATGGTGCGCCGTCCACAGCACGCCAGCCGTGGCGGCCATTGGGGGGTTAACCAACGGCAGAGGGAAGACCTTTCTCTCTGTCTCTCTCTCTCACTATCCACTCTGCATGTTAAAAAAAGTAAAAAAGAAAAGATGGGATGGGAACGTCACACATGACTCAGGAGCATTCTCCAGTGCCTGAGAGCCTTCTGGGGGGACAAGATGACAATAAGACAACCTTGAGATGTGACTTCATCTGGGTTCTGCATCTATTCAAATGAACAGCACCTCAAATGCATATATTGTTCAAGGCATTTGAGCCCACAGGGGACTTGCTTTCAAAGGAATGGTGCTGAATTCCCCATCTATTGACTAGCAACCATCCTAAGAGTGCCAGTCCTATGCAGACCACAGTCTGCCTCCTGGACAAATTTCAAATGGGAAGTGTTTAAAAATGTTTCAGTTGTATCTGGGTGTCAAAGGCTAATTAATTAGACACGATGTACATAACAAGTTTTTGTGGAGCCACTGTAGGTGCGTTGTCTTAAAAATATGCTGTCAGGGTACAACTGACGTAAGGGACTGTGATGTTCACTTATCTATGTCTCCTTCGTTCTCTCTAACATTTGTATGACTGCTGTGAAAGCTTGCGTAATACACCCACCCCACACTGTTCACGGATTCATCACTGTAGCCCCTGGACATTCCCGAGATTGCCAATGATGACACTTAGATGCCATTTTTCTCAGAATTTGAGGTGCACGGATGACCCTTTATCATGAATGTTGGTTATAAATGCCATCCCAAGGATCTTTATGTGAGTACAAAAGAATTTCAGACTATCATGTAGAATAAGCCTACATTCTTTTTGTCAGGAGTATAACAAGTTAGTCTGTGCACAGGTATTTGTTTCATGTGTTTATTCTGTTCTCTGTTCTGGTTTCCATACTTTAAGGGCATCCCATAGTCACACCCTCAAAGCTCCCCTAGTGCTCATTCCTCGTGACCTGTGCTGAGAACCTGTGACTTTTTCTTGGAACAGTACCCAATTTCTAATGTCACATAGCTTGATGCTTTCCCTTCGCATCTGATTTACCGTCTTCAATAAGAATGGACTCGTTCCAAGAGGAAACAAAGCAGACATCATCTGAGTTGGATGAATTCTCTCCTTCCTTGTTAAGATGTACCAGGCCTTGCAAACACATCTCAGAGGCATCCTTTTGAGGCTTTTGCAGTGCTGGGGAAAAACAACAAAATGACATCCATGAGATGTGACATCATCCAGTTTCTGCATCTAAATGGCAATGTATCACTGGATATGTTGTTTCGGGCAGGTGGCCACACATGAGACTTGCTCTCACAGGAATGAAAGCAACTTCATCCATTTAGTGAATGTCAGTTGTCCACTACATGCCAGACTCTCATGAAGACCATGAAATGTGCCTGGTCAAAGCTTCAAAACAGATGTTTTTAATAACTTTCATTCTTGTCCAGGTGTTGCTGGCTCAAAAGACAGAGCACACATTTATACTATCACTTGCTTTGTGTGTCTTGAAACAGTAATGTCACACAGAGTGCAATCCATGTGTTGTTAGTATTCATGCCCCTGTTACTGTCTAAAAATTCCATGATAGTTGTGAAAGGCTGCACAATGCTCCACAACCAAGATCTCCATGTCTTAACAACGGGAACCTGTGGATCTTACCTGGTAAGTTAAAAGGGACTTAGAAGATGCTGTATATTTGAGAAGTTTGAGATGGGAAGATAACCATTATCACATTGGTGGTTCCTGAATGTAATCCCTAAGATATCTCCAAGAGAAATGCAGGAAGCTCAAAGTGAGGGAGACAGATGAGGCAATGGAAGCAAAGAACAGAGGAAGGGAATGAAAGGGGCTGAAAAACAAGGAGCAAGTGAAGCCTCAGCAGGCAAGGACACTCGTCTGGCAGCCAACAAAAGAAACCAGTCACGCCAGTACGTTGACTCGCAGCCCCCTTAAACATAGGTTGAATTTCTCTCCCTCCCCTGCCCCATACATTGTTTTAGGCTGTTAAACTTAGGGTAATTTCCAAGAATGATTCAAAGGAGATAATTACATACACATGCGTGAATTCAGGATCTTTGTACCTCATGAATGGGCACTTCTTACCTAATTCTCTTTGTTTCCTGAGTTCAGTACCCTTTGAGTTATCAGTTTTAACCCTATTTCAAGCAATAACAGGAGCACAGAATACTTCTGCTTCTAGTCGGCATCGGACATCCTACTGTCATTCAGCACTTTAATCACAGCTGCTCTATCTGTTGTGAATTAGTTATTTTCTCTTGGGAATTTGAATAATCAAGACCTATCTATATATTCTCCGATCTCCTAGCACAAATTTGTTGCTGGTTGCCATTTCCTTTGTCAGTTTTTTTTTTTTTTTTTTTTTCTGAATAGACTCTTTAAATCACTATTAGTTTTCATTTTTCTTTGGCGTATTTATGTTAAACTGTCATATTTAATCCCTGACCTTGTATGACCGTGACTGTTCTTTTTGCCCTAAGCACACTATTTTATTCTGTGTTCATTTGTCTTCCGTGATGGTTGCTGAACATACCCACACACATTGCACTGATGCGCCCAGCCTCACCTGTCGCTGTCCTTACCAGGATGAGGTTGTAAAGGTGAAGGTGAGTGGCTGATGTGGGGTTCCAATTTATCAGATGTTTCTTCTGCTTCAAGGACCAAGGTCTTGCCCTCCACTGAGTTTTCAGGTTGTGGATCACACTGGGTGATTGAGATGTCTGCAATGTGGATCAGAGGTCATGAATATGCAGTTGATGTTTCATTCATTGATTTATCCAATCCACACATATTCTGATGATCATGATCTGAGTTCTCAGAATAGACGTATTCCATAGTCTCACAGGCAACCAAATACATGTCCTGATAAAAACTATAACATACATGTGCACAGCACATTCGTCTCATCATTGGATGCTGGAGTTTGGGTTAGAAGTCATATAATTGGGTTGGACTTCTAGCTATGTGCTAAAGCTCTTTTTTTAATGGTGTCAGAGTGTGTGAAGGAATACAACTAGCATTTCTCTTGCTTTACCAAAGATTATGTACAAAATATCATATGTGACCTCACTTAAGTCCTGTATTGGGCCTTATCCTACCTACAGAATAACCAACATCTCTGAATATTCTGTATTGTTCCCTGCAGGGACACAGCTTCTTCTATTCTCCTTGATTGACTTTTTCCAGTGAGCACCCTTCCCACATCCAAGATGACATTTTCCTCTTAGGTTCAATTGAAAATGCGCAAGGGGGTGCTACCTTTTGGGTTGTCTATATTTCTTCCCGGGTCCAGCCCTCAGGTCTCCTCAGTACCACAGTCCTTGGCCACTGCTTTTGGCCCTGTTGGCCTCCACTAATTTGTCATGCCAATGAAACAATGGCTGAATTCTGAACTTGAATAAAATACATATTCATGATTGTCTCATGCCACTGTTGCTGTTAAATGTTAACACAGTCCACTGATTGTTACTGAACTCTTAAGATTATCAAGTTGTGTCATGAATGAGGTGTGCTGTATATGATGCACTCACACATTGCAGTGAAACAGTGTGGTGAAATCATGTGCCACATGTATGTAACTTTGTAACATACTGCTTGAATTGGTCTGAAATTAATATGAAATAAATTCAGTATTTACCTATATGAATACTGCAGTGTGGGCCTGCGCCACGGCTCACTAGGCTAATCCTCCGCCTAGCGGCGCCGGCACACCGGGTTCTAGTCCCAGTTGGGGCGCCGGATTCTGTCCCGGTTGCCCCTCTTCCAGGCCAGCTCTCTGCTGTGGCCAGGGAGTGCAGTGGAGGATGGCCCAGGTGCTTGGGCCCTGCACCCCATGGGAGACCAGGAAAAGCACCTGGCTCCTGCCATCGGATCAGCGCGGTGTGCCGGCCGCAGCGCGCTGGCCGCGGCGGCCATTCGAGGGTGAACCAGCGGCAAAGGAAGACCTTTCTCTCTGTCTCTCTCTCTCACTGTCCACTATGCCTGTCAAAAAAATAAAAATAAATAAATAAATAAATAAATAAATAAATAAATGAATACTGCAGTGAGTTTTAATTAGGTAGAAAGGAAATGTTTGGGTCTGTGTGTTTAGCACACATGGCTCTATGTCATGTCACAACACGTGGTTTTGAGTGTGTGTTGTATTATATACAGATGGGTGTTCTGTGGTGTGTGTGTGTGTGTGTGTGTGTGCATGTGTGTGTGTGTTTTGTGCCATGGCAAAGGCAAGCATGTTCTGCGTTGGAGTGGTTCACTATCATGTCAGTATATGCAGAGGATGGCACAATGCAGGAGGAAGCACACGGCAACTCGCAGCATATGCATCTCTTTGAAGGGCTGATTTCACTTTGGATGAAGTGCCCTGTGATGGAGAACATGTGCTGTCTGGGCAAATCAAAGCCCTTCACACACAGGATTGTCTGGCATACTGATACGTGTGAGGTGGTGTGAAGCGATCATGACCGGAGTAAGGGGCAGGTTTCTTCAGGAATGAGGGTGACAGGCTATCCCAGTGCAATGCCACTAGGGGATAGGAAAGAAATGGTGAAGGCAGATGATAGATGTGAGATGATCTGAAAGAGGAAAGGGAAATGGCAGTGCACCCCTGGTAGAGAAGACCAACACATGAGTACGGAATGGAAATCCTGCCAGTTTGTGTGCCTTGGGAGGCTCTATCTGGATTCCACACACAAGCGCACCACCCATGGACTCATCTTTAGTCCTCCGAGTGCCCATGGATGGCAACTTGTTGGAGAGGATCTCTGAGCCATTCTCAGGATATTTTTGGGACACTCCTGCAGGTTTCTGCCATGGGGCTTCATCCTGGTTCTGTACCCTGAAACATGCTCCTATTGTGAGCCCAAAGAGGAGTGGGCGGGAGTTGGCCTGGGGAACTCAGCTGCAACACTCACCAAAGTTCACACCTTCCCTTTGCACGTGCCTTACCATCATCTTCAATAAGAATGGATTCTCCCAGACAGCAAACAAAGCGGGCATCATCTGATGTTGAGGATCTCTTTCTTTCTGACTTTAGATGGGATGGGGCCGGTGCCACAGCTCACTAGGCTAATCCTCCACCTAGCGGCGCCGGCACACCGGGTTCTAGTCCCAGTCGGGGCGCCGGATTCTTTCCCGGTTGCCCCTCTTCCAGGCCAGCTCTCTGCTGTGGCCTGGGAAGGCAGTGGAGGATGGCCCAAGTGCTTGGGCCCTGCACCCCATGGGAGACCAGGAGTAGCACCTGGCTCCTGCCTTCAGAGCAGCATGGTGCGCCGTCCACAGCAGCGCCAGCCGTGGCGGCCATTGGGGGGTTAACCAACGGCAGAGGGAAGACCTTTCTCTCTGTCTCTCTCTCTCACTATCCACTCTGCATGTTAAAAAAAGTAAAAAAAAAAGATGGGATGGGAACGTCACACATGACTCAGGAGCATTCTCCAGTGCCTGAGAGCCTTCTGGGGGGACAAGATGACAATAAGACAACCTTGAGATGTGACTTCATCTGGGTTCTGCATCTATTCAAATGAACAGCACCTCAAATGCATATATTGTTCAAGGCATTTGAGCCCACAGGGGACTTGCTTTCAAAGGAATGGTGCTGAATTCCCCATCTATTGACTAGCAACCATCCTAAGAGTGCCAGTCCTATGCAGACCACAGTCTGCCTCCTGGACAAATTTCAAATGGGAAGTGTTTAAAAATGTTTCAGTTGTATCTGGGTGTCAAAGGCTAATTAATTAGACACGATGTACATAACAAGTTTTTGTGGAGCCACGTTAGGTGCGTTGTCTTAAAAATATGCTGTCAGGTGCAACTGACGTTAAGAAACTGTAATGTCACTTACCTATGTCTCCTTCGTTCTCTCTAACATTTGTATGACTGCTGTGAAAGCTTGCGTAATACACCCACCCCACGCTGTTCATGTCTTCATCACTGTAGCCCCTGGACATTCCCGAGATTGTCAATGATGACACTTAGATGCCATTTTTCACAGAATTTGAGGTGCACGGATGACCCTTTATCATGCATGTTGGTTATAAATGTCATCCCAAGGATCTTTGTGTGAGTACAAAAGAATTTCAGACTATAATGTAGAATAAGCCTACATTCTTTTTGTCAGGAGTATAACAAGTTAGTCTGTGCACAGGTATTTGTTTCATGTGTTTATTCTGTTCTCTGTTCTGGTTTCCGTACTTTAAGGGCATCCCATAGTCACACCCTCAAAGCTTCCCTAGTGCTCATTCCTCGTGTCCTGTGCTGAGAACCTGTGACTTGTTCTTGCAACAGTACCCAATTTCTAATGTCACATAGCTTGATGCTTTCCCTTCGCATCTGACTTACCGTCTTCAATAAGAATGGGCATGTTCCAAGAGGAAACAAAGCAGACATCATCTGAGTTGGATGAATTCTCTCCTTCCTTGTTAAGATGTGCCAGGCCTTGCAAACACATCTCAGAGGCATCCTTTTGAGGCTTTTGCAGTGCTGGGGAAAAACAACAAAATGACATCCTTGAGATGTGACATCATCCAGTTTCTGCATCTAAATGGCAATGTATCACTGGATATGTTGTTTCGGGCAGGTGGCCACACATGAGACTTGCTCTCACAGGAATGAAAGCGACTTCACCCATTTAGTGAATGTCAGTTGTCCACTACATGCCAGACTCTCATGAAGACCATGAAATGTGCCTGGTCAAAGCTTCAAAACAGATGTTTTAATAACTTTCATCCTTGTCCAGGTGTTGCTGGCTCAAAAGACAGAGCACACATTTATACTATCACTTGCTTTGTGTGTCTTGAAACAGTAATGTCACACAGAGTGCAATCCATGTGTTGTCAGTATTCATGCCCCTGTTACTGTCTAAAAATTCCATGATAGTTGTGAAAGGCTGCGCAATGCTCCACAACCAAGATCTCCATATCTTAACCACGGGAACCTGTGGATCTTACCCGGTAAGTTAAAGGAGATAATTACATACACATGCGTGAATTCAGGATCTTTGTACCTCATGAATGGGCACTTCTTACCTAATTCTCTTTGTTTCCTGAGTTCAGTACCCTTTGAGTTATCAGTTTTAACCCTATTTCAAGCAATAACAGGAGCACAGAATACTTCTGCTTCTAGTCGGCATCGGACATCCTACTGTCATTCAGCACTTTAATCACAGCTGCTCTATCTGTTGTGAATTAGTTATTTTCTCTTGGGAATTTGAATAATCAAGACCTATCTATATATTCTCCGATCTCCTAGCACAAATTTGTTGCTGGTTGCCATTTCCTTTGTCAGTTTTTTTTTTTTTTTTTCTGAATAGACTCTTTAAATCACTATTAGTTTTCATTTTTCTTTGGCGTATTTATGTTAAACTGTCATATTTAATCCCTGACCTTGTATGACCGTGACTGTTCTTTTTGCCCTAAGCACACTATTTTATTCTGTGTTCATTTGTCTTCCGTGATGGTTGCTGAACATACCCACACACATTGCACTGATGCGCCCAGCCTCACCTGTCGCTGTCCTTACCAGGATGAGGTTGTAAAGGTGAAGGTGAGTGGCTGATGTGGGGTTCCAATTTATCAGATGTTTCTTCTGCTTCAAGGACCAAGGTCTTGCCCTCCACTGAGTTTTCAGGTTGTGGATCACACTGGGTGATTGAGATGTCTGCAATGTGGATCAGAGGTCATGAATATGCAGTTGATGTTTCATTCATTGATTTATCCAATCCACACATATTCTGATGATCATGATCTGAGTTCTCAGAATAGACGTATTCCATAGTCTCACAGGCAACCAAATACATGTCCTGATAAAAACTATAACATACATGTGCACAGCACATTCGTCTCATCATTGGATGCTGGAGTTTGGGTTAGAAGTCATATAATTGGGTTGGAGTTCTAGCTATCTGCTAAAGCTCTTTTTTTAATGGTGTCAGAGTGTGTGAAGGAATACAACTAGCATTTCTCTTGCTTTACCAAAGATTATGTACAAAATATCATATGTGACCTCACTTAAGTCCTGTATTGGGCCTTATCCTACCTACAGAATAACCAACATCTCTGAATATTCTGTATTGTTCCCTGCAGGGACACAGCTTCTTCTATTCTCCTTGATTGACTTTTTCCAGTGAGCACCCTTCCCACATCCAAGATGACATTTTCCTCTTAGGTTCAATTGAAAATGCGCAAGGGGGTGCTACCCTTTGGGTTGTCTATATTTCTTCCCGGGTCCAGCCCTCAGGTCTCCTCAGTACCACAGTCCTTGGCCACTGCTTTTGGCCCTGTTGGCCTCCACTAATTTGTCATGCCAATGAAACAATGGCTGAATTCTGAACTTGAATAAAATACATATTCATGATTTTCTCATGCCACTGTTGCTGTTAAATGTTAACACAGTCCACTGATTGTTACTGAATTCTTAAGATTATCAAGTTGTGTCATGAATGTGGTGTGCTGTATATGATGCACTCACACATTGCAGAGAAACAGTGTGGTGAAATCATGTGCCACATGTATGTAACTTTGTAACATACTGCTTCAATTGGTCTGAAATTAATATGAAATAAATTCAGTATTTACCTATATGAATACTGCAGTGAGTTTTAATTAGGTAGAAAGGAAATGTTTGGGTCTGTGTGTTTAGCACACATGGCTCTATGTCATGTCACATCACGTGGTTTTGAGTGTGTGTTGTATTATATACAGATTGGTGTTCTGTGGTGTGTGTGTGTGTGTGCGTGTGTGTGTGTGTTTTGTGCCATGGCAAATGCAAGCATGTTCTGCGTTGGAGTGGTTCACTATCATGTCAGTACATGCAGAGGATGGCACAATGCAGGAGGAAGCACACGGCAACTCGCAGCATATGCATCTCTTTGAAGGGCTGATTTCACTTTGGATGAAGTGCCCTGTGATGGAGAACATGTGCTGTCTGGGCAAATCAAAGCCCTTCACACACAGGATTGTCTGGCATACTGATACGTGTGAGGTGGTGTGAAGCGATCATGACCGGAGTAAGGGGCAGGTTTCTTCAGGAATGAGGGTGACAGGCTATCCCAGTGCAATGCCACTAGAGGATAGGAAAGAAATGGTGAAGGCAGATGATAGATGTGAGATGATCTGAAAGAGGAAAGGGAAATGGCAGTGCACCCCTGGTAGAGAAGACCAACACATGAGTACGGAATGGAAATCCTGCCAGTTTGTGTGCCTTGGGAGGCTCTATCTGGATTCCACACACAAGCGCACCACCCATGGACTCATCTTCAGTCCTCCGAGTGCCCACGGATGGCAACTTGTTGGAGAGGATCTCTGAGCCATTCTCAGGATATTTTTGGGACACTCCTGCAGGTTTCTGCCATGGGGCTTCATCCTGGTTCTGTACCCTGAAACATGCTCCTATTGTGAGCCCAAAGAGGAGTGGGCGGGAGTTGGCCTGGGGAACTCAGCTGCAACACTCACCAAAGTTCACACCTTCCCTTTGCACGTGCCTTACCATCATCTTCAATAAGAATGGATTCTCCCAGACAGCAAACAAAGCGGGCATCATCTGATGTTGAGGATCTCTTTCTTTCTGACTTTAGATGGGATGGGGCCGGTGCCACAGCTCACTAGGCTAATCCTCCACCTAGCGGCGCCGGCACACCGGGTTCTAGTCCCAGGTCGGGGCGCCGGATTCTTTCCCGGTTGCCCCTCTTCCAGGCCAGCTCTCTGCTGTGGCCTGGGAAGGCAGTGGAGGATGGCCCAAGTGCTTGGGCCCTGCACCCCATGGGAGACCAGGAGTAGCACCTGGCTCCTGCCTTCAGAGCAGCATGGTGCGCCGTCCACAGCACGCCAGCCGTGGCGGCCATTGGGGGGTTAACCAACGGCAGAGGGAAGACCTTTCTCTCTGTCTCTCTCTCTCACTATCCACTCTGCATGTTAAAAAAATTAAAAAAAAAAGATGGGATGGGAACGTCACACATGACTCAGGAGCATTCTCCAGTGCCTGAGAGCCTTCTGGGGGGACAAGATGACAATAAGACAACCTTGAGATGTGACTTCATCTGGGTTCTGCATCTATTCAAATGAACAGCACCTCAAATGCATATATTGTTCAAGGCATTTGAGCCCACAGGGGACTTGCTTTCAAAGGAATGGTGCTGAATTCCCCATCTATTGACTAGCAACCATCCTAAGAGTGCCAGTCCTATGCAGACCACAGTCTGCCTCCTGGACAAATTTCAAATGGGAAGTGTTTAAAAATGTTTCAGTTGTATCTGGGTGTCAAAGGCTAATTAATTAGACACGATGTACATAACAAGTTTTTGTGGAGCCACGTTAGGTGCGTTGTCTTAAAAATATGCTGTCAGGTGCAACTGACGTTAAGAAACTGTAATGTCACTTACCTATGTCTCCTTCGTTCTCTCTAACATTTGTATGACTGCTGTGAAAGCTTGCGTAATACACCCACCCCACGCTGTTCATGTCTTCATCACTGTAGCCCCTGGACATTCCCGAGATTGTCAATGATGACACTTAGATGCCATTTTTCACAGAATTTGAGGTGCACGGATGACCCTTTATCATGCATGTTGGTTATAAATGTCATCCCAAGGATCTTTGTGTGAGTACAAAAGAATTTCAGACTATAATGTAGAATAAGCCTACATTCTTTTTGTCAGGAGTATAACAAGTTAGTCTGTGCACAGGTATTTGTTTCATGTGTTTATTCTGTTCTCTGTTCTGGTTTCCGTACTTTAAGGGCATCCCATAGTCACACCCTCAAAGCTTCCCTAGTGCTCATTCCTCGTGTCCTGTGCTGAGAACCTGTGACTTGTTCTTGCAACAGTACCCAATTTCTAATGTCACATAGCTTGATGCTTTCCCTTCGCATCTGACTTACCGTCTTCAATAAGAATGGGCATGTTCCAAGAGGAAACAAAGCAGACATCATCTGAGTTGGATGAATTCTCTCCTTCCTTGTTAAGATGTGCCAGGCCTTGCAAACACATCTCAGAGGCATCCTTTTGAGGCTTTTGCAGTGCTGGGGAAAAACAACAAAATGACATCCTTGAGATGTGACATCATCCAGTTTCTGCATCTAAATGGCAATGTATCACTGGATATGTTGTTTCGGGCAGGTGGCCACACATGAGACTTGCTCTCACAGGAATGAAAGCGACTTCACCCATTTAGTGAATGTCAGTTGTCCACTACATGCCAGACTCTCATGAAGACCATGAAATGTGCCTGGTCAAAGCTTCAAAACAGATGTTTTAATAACTTTCATCCTTGTCCAGGTGTTGCTGGCTCAAAAGACAGAGCACACATTTATACTATCACTTGCTTTGTGTGTCTTGAAACAGTAATGTCACACAGAGTGCAATCCATGTGTTGTCAGTATTCATGCCCCTGTTACTGTCTAAAAATTCCATGATAGTTGTGAAAGGCTGCGCAATGCTCCACAACCAAGATCTCCATATCTTAACCACGGGAACCTGTGGATCTTACCCGGTAAGTTAAAGGAGATAATACATACACATGCATGAATTCAGGATCTTTGTACCTCATGAATGGGCACTTCTTACCTAATTCTCTTTGTTTCCTGAGTTCAGTACCCTTTGAGTTATCAGTTTTAACCCTATTTCAAGCAATAACAGGAGCACAGAATACTTCTGCTTCTAGTCGGCATCGGACATCCTACTGTCATTCAGCACTTTAATCACAGCTGCTCTATCTGTTGTGAATTAGTTATTTTCTCTTGGGAATTTGAATAATCAAGACCTATCTATATATTCTCCGATCTCCTAGCACAAATTTGTTGCTGGTTGCCATTTCCTTTGTCAGTTTTTTTTTTTTTTTTTCTGAATAGACTCTTTAAATCACTATTAGTTTTCATTTTTCTTTGGCGTATTTATGTTAAACTGTCATATTTAATCCCTGACCTTGTATGACCGTGACTGTTCTTTTTGCCCTAAGCACACTATTTTATTCTGTGTTCATTTGTCTTCCGTGATGGTTGCTGAACATACCCACACACATTGCACTGATGCGCCCAGCCTCACCTGTCGCTGTCCTTACCAGGATGAGGTTGTAAAGGTGAAGGTGAGTGGCTGATGTGGGGTTCCAATTTATCAGATGTTTCTTCTGCTTCAAGGACCAAGGTCTTGCCCTCCACTGAGTTTTCAGGTTGTGGATCACACTGGGTGATTGAGATGTCTGCAATGTGGATCAGAGGTCATGAATATGCAGTTGATGTTTCATTCATTGATTTATCCAATCCACACATATTCTGATGATCATGATCTGAGTTCTCAGAATAGACGTATTCCATAGTCTCACAGGCAACCAAATACATGTCCTGATAAAAACTATAACATACATGTGCACAGCACATTCGTCTCATCATTGGATGCTGGAGTTTGGGTTAGAAGTCATATAATTGGGTTGGACTTCTTGCTATCTGCTAAAGCTCTTTTTTTAATGGTGTCAGAGTGTGTGAAGGAATACAACTAGCATTTCTCTTGCTTTACCAAAGATTATGTACAAAATATCATATGTGACCTCACTTAAGTCCTGTATTGGGCCTTATCCTACCTACAGAATAACCAACATCTCTGAATATTCTGTATTGTTCCCTGCAGGGACACAGCTTCTTCTATTCTCCTTGATTGACTTTTTCCAGTGAGCACCCTTCCCACATCCAAGATGACATTTTCCTCTTAGGTTCAATTGAAAATGCGCAAGGGGGTGCTACCCTTTGGGTTGTCTATATTTCTTCCCGGGTCCAGCCCTCAGGTCTCCTCAGTACCACAGTCCTTGGCCACTGCTTTTGGCCCTGTTGGCCTCCACTAATTTGTCATGCCAATGAAACAATGGCTGAATTCTGAACTTGAATAAAATACATATTCATGATTTTCTCATGCCACTGTTGCTGTTAAATGTTAACACAGTCCACTGATTGTTACTGAATTCTTAAGATTATCAAGTTGTGTCATGAATGTGGTGTGCTGTATATGATGCACTCACACATTGCAGAGAAACAGTGTGGTGAAATCATGTGCCACATGTATGTAACTTTGTAACATACTGCTTCAATTGGTCTGAAATTAATATGAAATAAATTCAGTATTTACCTATATGAATACTGCAGTGAGTTTTAATTAGGTAGAAAGGAAATGTTTGGGTCTGTGTGTTTAGCACACATGGCTCTATGTCATGTCACATCACGTGGTTTTGAGTGTGTGTTGTATTATATACAGATTGGTGTTCTGTGGTGTGTGTGTGTGTGTGTGTGTGTGTGTTTTGTGCCATGGCAAATGCAAGCATGTTCTGCGTTGGAGTGGTTCACTATCATGTCAGTACATGCAGAGGATGGCACAATGCAGGAGGAAGCACACGGCAACTCGCAGCATATGCATCTCTTTGAAGGGCTGATTTCACTTTGGATGAAGTGCCCTGTGATGGAGAACATGTGCTGTCTGGGCAAATCAAATCCCTTCACACACAGGATTGTCTGGCATACTGATACGTGTGAGGTGGTGTGAAGCGATCATGACCGGAGTAAGGGGCAGGTTTCTTCAGGAATGAGGGTGACAGGCTATCCCAGTGCAATGCCACTAGGGGATAGGAAAGAAATGGTGAAGGCAGATGATAGATGTGAGATGATCTGAAAGAGGAAAGGGAAATGGCAGTGCAGCCCTGGTAGAGAAGACCAACACATGAGTACGGAATGGAAATCCTGCCAGTTTGTGTGCCTTGGGAGGCTCTATCTGGATTCCACACACGAGCGCACCACCCATGGACTCATCTTCAGTCCTCCGAGTGCCCACGGATGGCAACTTGTTGGAGAGGATCTCTGAGCCATTCTCAGGATATTTTTGGGACACTCCTGCAGGTTTCTGCCATGGGGCTTCATCCTGGTTCTATACCCTGAAATATGCTCCTATGTGAGCCCAAAGAGGAGTGGGCGGGAGTTGGCCTGGGGAACTCAGCTGCAACACTCACCAAAGTTCACACCTTCCCTTTGCACGTGCCTTACCTTCATCTTCAATAAGAATGGATTCTCCCAGACAGCAAACAAAGCGGGCATCATCTGATGTTGAGGATCTCTTTCTTTCTGACTTTAGATGGGATGAGGCCGGTGCCACGGCTCACTAGGCTAATCCTCCACCTAGCGGCGCCGGCACACCGGGTTCTAGTCCCGGTCGGGGCGCCGGATTCTTTCCGGTTGCCCCTCTTCCAGGCCAGCTCTCTGCTGTGGCCTGGGAAGGCAGTGGAGGATGGCCCAAGTGCTTGGGCCCTGCACCCCATGGGAGACCAGGAGTAGCACCTGGCTCCTGCCTTCAGAGCAGCATGGTGCACCGTCCACAGCGCGCCAGCCGTGGCGGCCATTGGGGGGTTAACCAACGGCAAAGGGAAGACCTTTCTCTCTGTCTCTCTCTCTCACTATCCACTCTGCATGTTAAAAAAAGTAAAAAAGAAAAGATGGGATGGGAAAGTCACACATGACTCAGGAGCATTCTCCAGTGCCTGAGAGCCTTCTGGGGGGACAAGATGACAATAAGACAACCTTGAGATGTGACTTCATCTGGCTTCTGCATCTATTCAAATGAACAGCACGTCAAATGCATATATTGTTCAAGGCATTTGAGCCCACAGGGGACTTGCTTTCAAAGGAATGGTGCTGAATTCCCCATCTATTGACTAGCAACCATCCTAAGAGTGCCAGTCCTATGCAGACCACAGTCTGCCTCCTGGACAAATTTCAAATGGGAAGTGTTTAAAAATACTTCAGTTGTATCTGGGTGTCAAAGGCTAATTAATTAGACACGATGTACATAACATGTTTTTGTGGAGCCACGTTAGGTGCGTTGTCTTAAAAATATGCTGTCAGGTGCAACTGACGTTAAGAAACTGTAATGTCACTTACCTATGTCTCCTTCGTTCTCTCTAACATTTGTATGACTGCTGTGAAAGCTTGCGTAATACACCCACCCCACGCTGTTCATGTCTTCATCACTGTAGCCCCTGGACATTCCCGAGATTGTCAATGATGACACTTAGATGCCATTTTTCACAGAATTTGAGGTGCACGGATGACCCTTTATCATGCATGTTGGTTATAAATGTCATCCCAAGGATCTTTGTGTGAGTACAAAAGAATTTCAGACTATAATGTAGAATAAGCCTACATTCTTTTTTGTCAGGAGTATAACAAGTTAGTCTGTGCACAGGTATTTGTTTCATGTGTTTATTCTGTTCTCTGTTCTGGTTTCCGTAATTTAAGTGCATCCCATAGTCACACCCTCAAAGCTCCCCTAGTGCTCATTCCTCGTGACCTGTGCTGAGAACCTGTGACTTATTTTTGGAACAGTACCTCAGTTTCAAATGTCACATAGCTTGATGCTTTCCCTTCGCATCTGACTTACCGTCTTCAATAAGAATGGGCATGTTCCAAGAGGAAACAAAGCAGACATCATCTGAGTTGGATAAATTCTCTCCTTCCTTGTTAAGATGTGCCAGGCCTTGCAAACACATCTCAGAGGCATCCTTTTGAGGCTTTTGCAGTGCTGGGGAAAAACAACAAAATGACATCCTTGAGATGTGACATCATCCAGTTTCTGCATCTAAATGGCAATGTATCACTGGATATGTTGTTTCGGGCAGGTGGCCACACATGAGACTTGCTCTCACAGGAATGAAAGCGACTTCACCCATTTAGTGAATGTCAGTTGTCCACTACATGCCAGACTCTCATGAAGACCATGAAATGTGCCTGGTCAAAGCTTCAAAACAGATGTTTTAATAACTTTCATCCTTGTCCAGGTGTTGCTGGCTCAAAAGACAGAGCACACATTTATACTATCACTTGCTTTGTGTGTCTTGAAACAGTAATGTCACACAGAGTGCAATCCATGTGTTGTCAGTATTCATGCCCCTGTTACTGTCTAAAAATTCCATGATAGTTGTGAAAGGCTGCGCAATGCTCCACAACCAAGATCTCCATATCTTAACCACGGGAACCTGTGGATCTTACCTGGTAAGTTAAAGGAGATAATTACATACACATGCGTGAATTCAGGATCTTTGTACCTCATGAATGGGCACTTCTTACCTATTTCTCTTTGTTTCCTGAGTTCAGAACCCTTTGAGTTATTCGTTTTCACCCTATTTCAAGCAATAACAGGAGCACAGAATACTTCTGCTTCTAGTCGTCATCGCACATCCTACTGTCATTCAGCACTTTAATCACAGCTGCTCTATTTGTTGTGAATTAGTTATTCTCTCCGGAATTTGAATAATCAAGACCTATCTATATTCAATAATATACTCTCGGAACTCCTAGCACAAATTTGTTGCTGGTTGCCATTTGCTTTGTCAGTTTTTTTTTTTTTTTTTCTGAATAGACTCTTTAAATCACTACTAGTTTTCATCATTCTTTGGCATATTTAAACTGTCATATTTAATCCCTGACCTTGTATGACCGTGACTGTTCTTTTTACCCTAAGCACACTATTTTATTCTGTGTTCATTTGTCTTCCGTGATGGTTGCTGAACATACCCACACACATTGCACTGATGTGCCCAGCCTCACCTGTCGCTGTCCTTACCAGGATGAGGTTGTAAAGGTGAAGGTGAGTGGCTGATGTGGGGTTCCAATTTATCAGATGTTTCTTCTGCTTCAAGGACCAAGGTCTTGCCCTCCATTGAGTTTTCAGGTTGTGGATCACACTGGGTGATTGAGATGTCTGCAATGTGGATCAGAGGTCATGAATATGCAGTTGATGTTTCATTCATTGATTTATCCAATCCACACATATTCTGATGATCATGATCTGAGTTCTCAGAATAGACGTATTCCATAATCTCACAGGCAACCAAATACATGTCCTGATAAAAACTATAACATACATGTGCACAGCACATTCGTCTCATCATTGGATGCTGGAGTTTGGGTTAGAAGTCATATAATTGGGTTGGACTTCATGCTATGTGCTAAAGCTCTTTTTTTAATGGTGTCAGAGTGTGTGAAGGAATACAACTAGCATTTCTCTTGCTTTACCAAAGATTATGTACAAAATATCATATGTGACCTCACTTAAGTCCTGTATTGGGCCTTATCCTACCTACAGAATAACCAACATCTCTGAATATTCTGTATTGTTCCCTGCAGGGACACAGCTTCTTCTATTCTCCTTGATTGACTTTTTCCAGTGAGCACCCTTCCCACATCCAAGATGACATTTTCCTCTTAGGTTCAATTGAAAATGCGCAAGGGGGTGCTACCCTTTGGGTTGTCTATATTTCTTCCTGGGTCCAGCCCTCAGGTCTCCTCAGTACCACAGTCCTTGGCTACTGCTTTTGGCCCTGTTGGCCTCCACTAATTTGTCATGCCAATGAAACAATGGCTGAATTCTGAACTTGAATAAAATACATATTCATGATTTTCTCATGCCACTGTTGCTGTTAAATGTTAACACAGTCCACTGATTGTTACTGAATTCTTAAGATTATCAAGTTGTGTCATGAATGTGGTGTGCTGTATATGATGCACTCACACATTGCAGTGAAACAGTGTGGTGAAATCATGTGCTACATGTATGTAACTTTGTAACATACTGCTTGAATTGGTCTGAAATTAATATGAAATAAATTCAGTATTTACCTATATGAATACTGCAGTGAGTTTTAATTAGGTAGAAAGGAAATGTTTGGGTCTGTGTGTTTAGCACACATGGCTCTATGTCAATGTCACATCACGTGGATTTGAGTGTGTGTTGTATTACATACAGATGGGTGTTCTGTGGTGTGTGTGTGTGTGTGTGTGTGTGTGTGTGTGTGGTAAGGCATAGGTATTTGTGTGCTATGTGCTGGAGGGGTTCAGAAGTGTGTTACTCCATGAGACACTAGATACTGCATGTTGGAGGAAGCATGCAGCAGCTCTCACCACATACAGCACTTTGAAAGGTTGAAGGTGCTGTGGGTGCAGTAAGAGTTTGTGGATATGTAAGAGGGAATGCTGTCTGCAAAAGTGAATTCTCATCAGACAGATGAGTGTTCATATATGAGCTCCAGAGCTGGGTAGTTAAAACAGGTTATCTGTGTGATGCGGTGTGAAGTATTCATGAGGTTAGTTAGAGAAAAGGGGTACATAATTGAGGGTGCAGGCATGCCCCTGTGCAATTCCACTAGGCAATGGGAAGCACATGATCAAGCAAGGAGGATAAGAGAAGATTGGTTCCAGGGGAAATTTTGGAATAGAACAGCTGAGTGAGGAGGAATAGAAAAGCAGAGTATGTGAGCAGGGGATTGTCCCCAATATTTGGGGCCACATGTTTCCAGATGTGTCAGTGGTGCCCGTGACCTCATTTGCAGCTCTCTCCGTGACCACAGATGGTGAGTTCGTGTTGAGGAGCTGTGACCCATTATTGGGACCACATTACCTATGTGTCACTCCCCACAGTCTTCGTCTAGTTGCTGTGACCTGAAGCACTTCATTATCTTGAGGGAAGAGTTGAGTGAGAAAGGATTGGCCACGGCAGTTCAGTTGTAACTCTCACCTAAGTTCACACCTTCCCTTTGCATCTGTCTTACCATCTTCAATAAGAATGGGCCTATTCCAGGAAGAAACTGAATGCACATCATTTGAGGTGGGTGAACTATCTCCATCTTTCTTAAGATGGCATGAGGTCTTCAAACATATCTCAAAAGCAGCCTCTTGAGGCTTCTGGAATGCAGTGGGAAAATGACCATTTGAGATGCAACCTCATCTGGGTTGTGCATCTATCCAAAAGAAGAGTAGGAAAGTGAATCATGTTGTTTCAGGCATGGGGATACCCAACGAAGTTGTGCTCACAAAAATAAGGCCAGCTTCACCATTCAGTGAATCTTCATTTTTGCTGCATGCCACTCACGCAGACCATGACCAAAGTTTGGAACATAAGTCTTAAGTAACTTTGAGGTTTAATTGGTTGTGCTAGGCTTGGTGCAAACAGGGTGTATTTCATTGTCTTTTGGAACCCACTTGTAATGTGTTTCATGAAACAAGGCTGTCACAAAATATGTGCTGTCACTAAATGTAAGACACTTTAGTATTCATTTATCTGTCACTGTGTTTTATGGCTCCATTATAGTTACGAAACGCTGAGTAATGTTGCCCACGAAGGCCACAATCTAACCCTGGAGCTTGTGAATATTACCTAGTATGTGAAGGGGGAATTTGCTGATGATGGAAAACCAAGGCTTTTATGATGAGAACAGCACCCTAGAGTACAATGGTGGGATCTTCACTGTCACCCCGAGGATATTTAAAGCTGGGAGGCAAGAAGGTGAAAAGGATGGCGAGATATGTGACAGTGGAAACAAGAGGCTGGAGATTTTTGTTGAAGGGGAAGAAAATCAAGGACAGTGTGAAGCCACAGGAAGGAAGGACACTCCTCCATCACCCAAGAAGAGAAGCCAGCCCTGGGGCTGGCACCATATGTAGTGGGTAAAGCCAATGCCTGCAGTGAGCGCATCCAATATGAGTACCAGTCCTGTCCTAGCTACTCTACTTGCAAATCACTTCCCTACTCATATGCCTGGGAAAGCAGTGGAAGACGGTACAAGACCTAGGGATGCTGCATCCATATTGGTAACCAGCAAGAAGCTCCTGGTTCAGATAGGCCCACCTCAAGCCATTGTAGCTGTCTGGGGAGTAGACCACCAGAAGAAGATCCCTCCCTCTGCCTCAGCCTCTCTGTAATTCTTTCCAAATAAATAAGTAAATCTTAAAGAAAAAACAACAAACCATTCCTGAAAATACCTGAGTTGTTAGGTCCATAAGATGCCACAAGGTGTAGGGGTGGGACACTGGGCAGTGATTAGGCTTATATCAGATTATTAGCACAGAGGTCACTTTACTGAATTCTGCTGTGTCTGTAAGACTGACACAGAAACACAGACTCATGTATTCTTGTTTTATTTACCTGTCTCATGACATCTGGTTCTAGGTATCACCTTGGGATTCTTGCCCATTCAAAACACAAGGACCCTAGACTTCAAATCTCAAGAACCAAGAATTAAAACAATCCTTTCCTTTAAAAAGTTAGGCTGCCTCACAGATTCCAAGATAGTACTGAAAAGGCAAGACAAACATTTTGAGATTTTTTTCTGGACTATGCAGAATTGTGTCAACTGATGAGTAGAATCATTCAGCTCATCTCTGTGCTATGAGAAAAACCTTCTACTGTGAGAAACTTCTACTTTCCCTGCATGAGTCTCTCCATCCCTGCCCCAGTGAGATTCTCCTCAGTTGAGAGGCAGGATAAGTAGCACGAAAGGAAGCAGCAGCCTTTGCTTTGTGGTATCAGGTTGGTATGGTCCTTTTAGGTTACAGTGCAGGTCATATTTGTAAATAAAACTTGACTGAAAAAGTTAATAAAGTAAGAGATGTGTTTCACATCTGGTGTATATTTGCATTTGTCCATACTTAAATAAGGGTCTTCTACGTGGCAGGTTCCATGACCACTCATGGCCTCCACATTCTGTTCCTGTAGTGAAATGCTGTAAGGTAAGATAGTTGTTAATTATTCCATCCGTGCATACTATGGGTGGCAGTACTGCACAGTGTCTCATTTTCAACAGAGTAGAACACATAAGCAATCTTCTGTCCACCTGTGTACCTGTTGTTTTATTTGCCTACCTCCCTTACTGATAGTTCTGAGCATACGTCTAGGTCAAAGGAAAGGAATGACAAAAGCACCTTTCAGGCATGACCATACCCACCACCCATACAAACCTCTGTATCTCTTCATGCTCTTTCCTTTTCTGTTCTTCTGGGATGGTAACAATCCAAGTTTCCTATGCAAGTTGCCTATAATGATGAGAAAGTGTTCATCAATCTAAGGCCATAATGTGTCACATGAAGACTTCTCCCTAAGGATCTCCCCATATATCCTGAAGTCTTATAAAAGCAAGAAATAGGTTGATCACAGGTTATTGATAAAAGCTTAGTCTGTTCCAAATTAAAATTCAGGTGTAATGTGTTTTTATAGCTGGAAGACGGTATGTAGGCAACACATTATATATTAACATCTGTCACCCCTGGTTTGTTTCTGTACTATATGTGGGTGCACTTGAACAGGTGGGACTATTGGATAAATCCCTTAGTAAACAAGTTCTTCACATGATTTTGAACTCATCCTTGCTCAGTTTTCTTTTTAAACTATTTATCCATTTGCTTATTTTTTATTTATTTCTTCTGCAACATAGTGAGAGAAAGGGGTTGAGACACATGTCTATATCCTTATTCAGTTCCCCAAAGGCTACCAAGGCCAGGCAGACCAAAATCAAATGCCAAGAATTTCACCAGGGGCTCCAATGAGGCTGTCTGGGGCCCAAGTATTTGCCCCCGTATTCCACTGCTTCCCCAGGTGCATTAGGAGGAAACTGGAATGGAAGCAGAGCAACAGAGAGTCACCCAGCATCCTCTGTCAGAGGGTAGGATGCTGGCATCTCAACTGTTAACACACCATGTCATAATGTCATCCCCTGCTCAAACAAGTTTTCTTGCCCCAACTGTTTTAAGTGTGCTTTCATCTCAAGCAGTCACACTTGCCTCACAAAGAAAGGATAATTTACTTGTGGAAAACTTATAAGACGATCACCTACCTCTGCAATTCTTTCAGAAAGCAATCATTTGTCAAGCATAGTGCATCACCATGTCTGTGGCGTAGCAACCCACGGAAAGTCCATAAAGTAGCACAGGCCCTGTGTTGCACAGATAATAATACAGGTCATTTGAAATTCCCCTTTACTCTCAGTGACCTGGATCCTCAGGAAGGCTGGTACACACACACACACACACACACACACACACACTCACACTCACACTCACAGGTTCTCCTTCTCTCTCTCCCTTCTTCACCCACAGCCCCTCTCCCACCTTTCCCCTCTCTCCTCTCCTCTTCCACAATTAGACTACTCCCTTTCTTTTTCAGAAGGCAGTTTTTGATTACTGGTTACTAGATAATATCCTAAGACATACCTTTTGATCTCTTTGAAATCAGGAGACAGTATATGGGTTCTAAATAATTTGCCTTTGGTTTCCTTGTATGTTCCACCTTCGGAAAGTTACTCAAATCTACTACCTTCCTCTCTACAACTGGACACCCAGCAAGTCACCTCTGCTAAAGTATGAAATGGGAATACCCAAGAACAAATCGCCTGAGTCTCTCTCTTCGCCTAATTACTGTCCAGCCTGGAACACAGTACGTCAACAGTAACCAGGAATATTCTGTGACAGATTGATGACATCACTCCATTCCAGGGGTTCAGCAAATAGGTGGAGGCCCACAGATTTGCTACCATCAATAACCAAAGATGACACAATTTAAGTAATGGAAATCCTACCACGAGATTTAAGATAAATACACTATTAGTAGTGTATGTCATACACAAACAAGAAGAATGTTTGAAAATTACACTCTGTATACATATATCAAAATGACACAAAGAAGTCTTATGTTTGTTAAATTGGTGAGAAAAGTTGAAGGTTTAAATTTCAAAATTCAATCTGCATGTTGGCTTCTAGGTGAGAGTTTAAAAATATGTTACATATCAAGGCTGGGGCTGCAGCTCACTAGGCTAATTCTCCACCTTGTGGCGCTGGCATACCGGGTTCTAGTCCTGGTAGGGGCACTGTATTCTGTCGTGGTTGCTCCTCTTCCAGGATAGCTCTCTGCTGTGGCCAGGGAGTGCAGTGGAGGATGGTCCAAGTACTTGGGCACTGCACCCCATGGGAGACCAGGATAAGTACCTGGCTCCTGCCATTAGATCTGCGTGGTGCGCTGGCCTGCAGCGCGCCTGCCGCGGGGGCCATTGGAGGGTGAACCAACAGCAAAAGGAAGACTTTCTCTCTGTCTGTCTCTCTCACTGTCCAATCTGCCGGTCAAAAAATATATGCTTCGAATCTATACATCTATGTAGTTTCTGTTTCTACTGAGATCAGTGTCATGTTGGTTCACAATGAGACCTGCCTCTTCTGCCACTGCTCATCGTCACTCCCCTTTTGCTTTCAGAGAAGAGAAAACCCTTGGATTTACAATTTCTGGCTCCCTGGCTAGAAAACATCTGGGCCCTGTTACAAGAAGTTCACATCTGGAGCACCTCTGTTCTGCCTTCCATCCAGTATAGAACACATCTTAAGTCATACGGTCAATATGTGTTTACTTTGAACGTCAGCAATGCCCATATGGCTAGCCTCATTCAGTCTCCCTGTCTCTAGGCTTTCTGTCATTTACCATGACCACTGATTGAAGGATAGGAGATTTATAAAGTAATAATTACCCCAGTTACCTCCCAGAAAAAGTAAAGTTAAAGTCAGCAATGCAAACAAGCTACCATATATCAAACTGATAAAAATTAGGGAAGTCCAACTACACCAAATAGTTGGAAGAACATGAACGAACGAAATGTCATGAGGCAAAATTCATATTAAATCTCTGTAACAATCTCAGAGCATGTAGACAACAACACGCCGATTTGAAGCCAGGAGCCACGTGCTTCCTCCTGGTCTCCCATGTGGGTGCAGGGCCCAAGTGGCCATCTTCCACTGTACTCCCGGACCATAGCAGAGAGCTGGCCTGGAAGAGGGGCAACCGGGACAGACTCCAGCGCCCCAACCAGGATCCAGATCCCAGGGCGCTGGCACCACAGACAGAGGATTAGCCTATTGAGCCACGAGCACCGGCCTTGGAATTAACTTCTAAGAGATGAGGTCAACTAAATTAAAGTCTATGCCAAGGGAGAGGAGCAACAAGAAAGAACTGGTGAGCAGAGATTTAAAAAAAAAAGAACAACAGAATTCAAGGAAATTCAGGTGGCTTCCTGAACAGGCTAATGACCGGGGCTACTATTAACACAATTCTGCATAAAATTTCAACAGCAAAAGAAATTAGCCTGTCAAAAATTAAACATGCCCTATATTACATCTAGATCTAAGAGAAAGGTATGTTCTGACTTTATTTCCCCTCACTAACACAGAAAAGCACTGCAGTCTCCCTGGCTTAAAATAAAAGTCTGTCCCCCGTTAGTTATGGATATCAAGAGTCTTAAGATGCCAATGTGTTGCTGCATGCTTCTGGAGAACAGAAGTGCAATATAGGAATGAGGAGCTGTGAGTAGTACTGGTTCTGACTGGAAGCCCTGAAAGGAGCCTAAAGCTCTGCAGCATCCAGAGGTTGCCTGTAGCCTTTTTCTCTTATTCAGTCTTCATCTTCATACAGAATCTCTCTAACACCTGCTGCCACTGTAACCTCTTCACTCCAACTGCTACTTTCTTCGCTCCTTTCTCAAAAGGAACCCTGTGGTTATTTGACCTTAACCACATCATCCTGGAAAACCTTCTAGTTCAGAGTCCTTGATTTAAATGATTCCAGCAAGTCTACATTGCCACACAATGTTTCATATCCATAAGTTGCAGGGAACTGGGAAGATGATATTTTGGGGGTAAGGTGCATTTTCCAGCCTACTCTACCAAGAAAAAAACAAAAGTTACCACAGAGATTGCAAGTATGGCAAAATATGATCGCCTGAACCTCATTTATGTACCTTCTCATTAAAGGGAAAGAAAAGGAAGACAATGAAGGGCAAGAATTCCAGTTCCCACAAGGAAACAACTGAAGAAAAGTCACAGAAACATACCGTTTTACCACTGCCATGCTCAACCATTGCTCCTCAGTAATGCGATTCACATGGCGAGAATGGAAAGCAAATGGGGCCAAGGGTTCAATCACCACAAGGCAAAGAAAATGCCCAGGCTTCAGTCCTTTGTGAAAACTGCGCAGCAGCCATTCTTCATCAAAGCCATGTTAAAATGTGGAGATGCCGGCGAGGATGTGGGGGAAAAGGGACACTAACCCACTGTTGGTGGGAATGCAAACTGGTCAAGCCACTATGGAAGTCAGTCTGGAGATTCCTCACAAACCTGAAGATAACCCTACCATTCAACCCAGCCATCCCACTCCTTGGAATTTACCCAAAGGAAATGAAATTGGCAACCAAAAAAATAATCTGCACCTTAATGTTTCTTGCAGCTCAATTCACAATAGCTAAGACCTGGAATCAACTTAAATGCCCATTAACAGTAGACTGGATAAAGAAATTATGGGATATGTACTCTATAGAATACTATACAGCAGTCAAAAACAATGAAATCTGGTCATTTGCAACAAAAGGGAGGAATCTGGAAAACATTATGCTGAGTGAAATAAGCCAGTCCCAGGGACAAATATCATATGTTCTCCCTGATTGGAGTAAACTAACCAGCACCAAAAAGGAAACTTTTAAAGTGAAATGAACACTATGAGAAACCGTGACTGATCAGCGCTAGCCCTGACTGTGGATGAACAACTTAATATGTTATCCCTCTTAGTATTTTTTTGTTTGTTCTACTTAATACTATTGGTTAAATTCTGTAATTAATACGCAGTTATTCTTAAGTGTTGAAACTGAAATGTGATCCCTGTTAAATGTAAGAGTGGGAATAAGAGAGGGAAGAGATGTACAATTTGGGACATGCTCAAGCTGACTTGTCCCAGATGTTAGAGTTAGAAATATACTAGGGCATTCCAATTCAATCCCACCAAGTTGGCGTGTACAAATGCCACCTCACTAGTCTGAGTGATCGATTTCTGTTCACAATTGATCATAATGATAGGACTAAGAGCCAAAGGGATCACATAAACAAGTCTAGTGTCTGCAAATACTAACCGATAGAATAAAAAAGAGAGAAAGATCCAACACGGGAAGCAAGATACACAGCAGATGATTAGAATGGCAGATGTCCTAAACAGCACTCTGGCCTCAGAATCAGCCCCTTAAGGCATGTGGATCCGGCTGAAAAGCCATTGAGAGTATTTCAGGCATGGAAAGCCAAGATCTATGTCCAAAAAAAAAAATGAACTAAATGAAAGATCTCTGCGAGTGAGATCCCAGTGGAAAGAACGGGTCATCAAAGAAGGAGGTACCTTTCTCTGAAGGGAGGAGAGAACTTCCACTTTAACTACGACCTTGTCTAAATAGGATCAGAGCCGGTGAACTCAAAAGGCTTTTATAGCCTTGGCAACTCATGACAAGAGCCTAGGGTGATTATTGATGCCATAAACAAGAGTGTCAATTTGTTAGGTCAACAACAGGAGTCACTGTGCACTTACTCCTCATGTAGGATCTCTGTCTTAAATGTGCTATACAGTGTGATTTAATGCTATAACTAGTACTCAAACAGTATTTTTCATTTTCTGTTTCTATGTGGGTGCAAACTGTGGAAATCTTTATTTAATATATGCTAAACTGATCTTCTGTATATAAAGAGAATTGAAAATAAATCTTGATGTGAATGGAAGGGGAGAGGGAGCGGGAGATGGGAGGGGTAGGAGTGGGATGGTAGTTATGGGGGGGGCGAAGCCATTGTAATCCATGAGCTGCACTTTGGAAATTTATTTTCATTAAATAAAAGTTTTAAAAAAAGAATAAAAAATGTGGAGAAGAAACCACAGGGACTAACTACTAGTGCATCATCCTACATCCATAGGAGAATGTTTACTGTGCTGCATATTACTGGGTGTCTGAGAAGGACACAAAGCAGCAGAGCATTCAGTGTTAGAGCAGGAGCTGTGAACTAGAAGTTTCAGGTGAGAGGGAAGGAGAAATGGCTATCTGTGTTTCTATTTTAGAGAGACACAGACACACAGACCGGGAGGCTCTCCTCTGCTTTTTCGTTCCCCAAAAGATCAGAAGCCAGCAGCAGGGATCTCAATTGAGATCTCCCACAAAGATGGCAGAAAATCAATTTCCTGAGCCACTACTGCTGCTCCCTCACATCTGATTAGAAAAGAGCTGCAGACAAAACCAACTTTCAGCCGGTGCCGCGGCTCACTAGGTTAATCCTCCGCCTGCCGCGCCGGCACACCGGGTTCTCGTCCTGGTTGGGGCGCAGGATTCTGTCCCGATTGCCCCTCTTCCAGGCCAGCTCTCTGCTGTGGCCAGGGAGTGCAGTGGAGGATGGGCCAAGTCCTTGGGCCCTGCACCCCATGAGAGACCAGGATAAGTACCTGGCTCCTGCCATCGGATCAGCGCAATATCTGCATTAGTGGATGATAAGTCTAACAGAGTAGGTAATGTAGCACTGTGGTGAGGCCACCATTTAGTTTGCTCTGTAGGTACTAGGCATGTTGCTGAATTTTAAGCTGATTAT